TTTCTTTAGTCTGGTTACTTTTGTCTGCTCTGATAGCTTGTCCTAAGTAGATATATTCTTGGACGTGTTCTATGTTTGTTCCACCTATGGTAATTACTGATCTGTCTTCTGTATTAGTCATTATTTTAGTTTTCTTGAGATTCATTTTTAGTTCTTTCTCAAGAGATGTTTTTTCTATGTCTGAAATCATTATTCGTAGTTGTTCCATAGTTTTTCGTTTATACAAATCTCTTTATTGCCCCAGTCTGTAGATTTAAAAATGTCTTCCAACGCAAGAGTAAATAGTTTAGGTTAGATTGTATCCTCTTGTCTGACACCTCTACAAATTCTAATTAATGGAGTTTGCAAATCTCTGTCTAGCTGAATTCTCATAGTGACGTTTTGATATATATATATATATATATATATATATATATATATATATATATATATATATATATATATATATATATATATATATAACACTGTTTTTGATGGGTTGGAGTCAATAAAAGGGGCTATTTGTTGACTATTTTTTACTCGAGCTTTCAATTGTGTTTACAATTTTTATCAAGAGCTTCTAAAAAATACAAAATGTCTTACAAAGTTGAACTAGAAATAAAAAATTTTTTGTTAACTCACCAAATAAAATTAGTTTTTTATATAAAACTACTGCTTACATAATAAATACAAAAAATATTAATAAAAAAATGTCTTATTCTAATAAATGTTTCTCTGAAAAATTTTAGATGAAGTTTCTTAAGAAAAAAAAATTGAATTTATAAACAAAAATAGAATAGCTACAACCAGCCTAAAATGTCATAAATACTAACTTAAAAATTTTTATTTTTGACATATTGTCAAAAATAAAATTTTGTTTAAAAAATTCTTCTTTGTTTAGTAACAAAAAAGAAGAAGATTTATTCACCATTGATAGATGCCCGAAAAAATGTAACAAATACATGGAAAATTCAAAATGTGATATTTTACTGACTGCATAAATTAAATCCTCCAACTTATAATCGAGGGTAAAATTGAAGGCAAGAGAGGAATGGGACGCAAGAAAATGTCCTGGCTCCGAAACATAAGGCAATGGATAGGGATTAACGACATACAATCTCTGATACATATTGCAAGAAATAGAGAGTTAATGGAAAATGTGATCGCTAACATCCATTAGTGGATTTGCATCTGAAGAAGAAGAAGAAGATAAATTAAATAGAAATTATATAATTACAAATTTTGCTTAAATTTTGAATTTCTGACCTTTTGTTTAAATTATTATCACTTTTGCTAATACAAACCATTTCCAAAAAAGTTCTTTTAAATTTATTACTTTCATTACATACAAATGCGATTTGAGAGATTTCTTCCAGTCTATATAAGCTGAGTATATTGGTGAGACTGGAAGAAATCTCTCAAATCGCATTATTTCTCACAAGAGTGATTGTAGAATTAAGAAACCATCTTGTGCTTTGGCAGAGCATGTAATAGACAAAGACCATATTATGGATTTTGATAATATTAAAATTTTATGTAATGAAAGTAATAAATTTAAAAGAACTTTTTTGGAAATGGTTTGTATTAGCAAAAGTGATAATAATTTAAACAAAAGGTCAGAAATTCAAAATTTAAGCAAAATTTGTAATTATATAATTTCTATTAATTTATCTTCTTCTTCTTCTTCAGATGCAAATCCACTAATGGATGTTAGCGATCACATTTTCCATTAACTCTCTATTTCTTGCAATATGTATCAGAGATTGTATGTCGTTAATCCCTATCCATTGCCTTATGTTTCGGAGCCAGGACATTTTCTTGCGTCCCATTCCTCTCTTGCCTTCAATTTTACCCTCGATTATAAGTTGGAGGATTTAATTTATGCAGTCAGTAAAATATCACATTTTGAATTTTCCATGTATTTGTTACATTTTTTCGGGCATCTATCAATGGTGAATAAATCTTCTTCTTTTTTGTTACTAAACAAAGAAGAATTTTTTAAACAAAATTTTATTTTTGACAATATGTCAAAAATAAAAATTTTTAAGTTAGTATTTATGACATTTTAGGCTGGTTGTAGCTATTCTATTTTTGTTTATAAATTCAATTTTTTTTTCTTAAGAAACTTCATCTAAAATTTTTCAGAGAAACATTTATTAGAATAAGACATTTTTTTATTAATATTTTTTGTATTTATTATGTAAGCAGTAGTTTTATATAAAAAACTAATTTTATTTGGTGAGTTAACAAAAAATTTTTTATTTCTAGTTCAACTTTGTAAGACATTTTGTATTTTTTAGAAGCTCTTGATAAAAATTGTAAACACAATTGAAAGCTCGAGTAAAAAATAGTCAACAAATAGCCCCTTTTATTGACTCCAACCCATCAAAAACAGTGTTATATGTTTTCCAAACGAGTCACAAGTACTTCTTTTGTCTTACTCTTATATATATATATATATATATATATATATATATATATATATATATATATAATATATATATTATATTGTGGATTAACATTCTGTACCGTGAATCTGTTCGGCAATTAACTAGCGCTTCTTCCACTGCCCATAGTTCTATGATGTCAAACGCTTTTTCATAGTCAACAATCGCTAGGTATATTGGAAGGTTGTTTTGTTGGTTTTTTCTATCAATAGTTTAAAAGTGTGAAGGTGGTCGGTTGTGCTGTACCCCTTTCTAAATCCTGGCTGCTCAACTGGTTGGTATGCATCAAATTTGTTGTTTAGTCTAGTTGTGATCACCTTAGTGAAAGTTTTATAGATTTGTGACAAGAGAGAGATTGGTCTATAGTTAGCTAATTTTGATGTATTTCCTTTCTTATATATCAGAATTGTATTTGCCTTGCGGTATTTGTTCCACTCTAGCGGTATTTGTCCTTCAACCAAATATTTATTGAAAAGTATCTTTGGGTAGTCTTTTATCTTTTCACCTCCTTCTTTTAACATTTCAATTTGAATTTCATCGTCTCCCGGAACCTTATTTCTTTTCATGTCTCATGTTTTCATGTCTAACTTTTTCTATTTCTTCTCCGGTTATAGGGGGTAATATTTCAGTGTTTATATCAGGTGGACTATTTTTACAGCTGTAGAGGTCACTATAATATTCCCTTGTTATCTTAGATATTTGGGTTCTGCTTTTTTCTATTACACCTTGTTTATTTTCCATCTCTATGATTTTATTTCTTTCTAGGTGGGATTTGATAGATCTTAAGTTTCTGTTTTCTTCTATAATCTTCTCAATTCGTTCTTCTTGATGATGTTTGAGATCTTGTTTTATATGTCTTCTTATTTCTGTATTGAGGCTTTTGTATTCAGTTGTATTTCTTTTATTTTCTTGTAGTTGGCTTCTCCGTTGTTGTAGCATGTCTAAAGATATGGCACTTAGTTTTGATTTTTTGTCTGATTTTGCTGGTGCTACTTCTAAGCTAGTCTTTAGAAATTCTTCAGTGATGGCTTTGTTTAGTTGATCTAGATTTAGGTCCGTTAGCTTTAGTTCTTCAGCTTTTCTTAATTTGTTTTGGTATTGTTCTTTATTCTTCTTTAATTTTTCTGGGTGGACTTTTTTCTTAGAGTGCACATATTGTCTTCGATCTTTTGTTCTGTGATCACTACCTGTAGATATTGAGTTTATTACTGTGACGTCTTCGAAAATGTTCTTTTTGTTTGTTAGTATGTAGTCAATTTAATTTTTAGTGTTCCCATCTGGCGACATCCACGTCCATTTCCTCTGTGGCTTTTTCTTGAAGAAAGAGTTCATGGCAAATAAGTTGTTGTTTTCTAGATAGTTAACCAATAGATCCCCTCTTTCATTTCTTACTCCATGTCCAAATTCTCCAATACAGTTTTCGTTTTCTTCTAGTTTTTTTGCCCATTTTCGCATTAAAATCGCCCATTATAATCGTGTAAGTAGTGTTTTGATACGTCATGGACTCTGTGAGGTGTTCATTCTTCTATTTCTTCGTCTGTGTGTGTGTAGATGTTGGCGCATAAATCTGAATTATTTATATGAATTATTGAATTATTTTTAAAGTGACCTTTTCGCTGATATTTATGATTAATAAAGCAATTCTTTCTGTTATTCGTACGTATTCCTCAATTTTATGAGCGTATTTTTTCGAAATCAAAAAACCAACTCCATCTAAACTTTCGTTTTCTCTACCTCTAAAATACAATATGTTTTCAGACTCTAGCGAGATGCAGTTTTCACCTTTCCTTTTACCTTTACATTGAAAGTTGAGATATACATTTATGTTGTCTGTATTGACGAACTATTGTTTCCCCCAGATCCGATGAGACTGACCTTATTAGAAAAGGTGTAGGATTTGCCACAATGTGAACCACCTACCTAGGACCAGTTCCATTCGGGTTTGTATTCGCCATTTGAGAAGGGAGGTGTTGACCATAAAACACCACGCTGGTCAAACGGGTTGGTGAGTGTATATTCAGCCACCCATTCTGGGTCAGACGCTGTTCGTAGCCGTCCACTCTGGATCAGACGCTACTGATTTTATATTAACCCTAAAATCAGGGGGTGCCACTTCTGCCATCCTCGCCGTACCGAATGTATCCTTCTCCGCCTTGAATGCCGTTGTAGTCTTCATCCGTGACCCTCGACAAGGAATCCTGAGGTACTAGTTTCCCGGGTCAAGAAACACCTGGAATCTGTCGAGGGCAGGGAATGATTCATTCTCTCTTCTGATAGGACTGTCTAAGGCTAAGGAATTCCTACCCACTACCCTCCACTAATGTTTGCTTTACCACGTAGTTATTAATCGCCCTGTAGAATTTATCATATTTTCCAAACTTGCAAAATATCATTGCCTACCTTTTTTCCAAACAAATTTTCTGTATTTTTCGGATAGTATTGAGCATAATGGAATTAAGTTATTCTATTAATAGTATGTTTATTACAATTATCTCTTTATTAATAGCAAAATTGTACAGACAAATTACAATGACATAATATAAAAATAAATTAATTCTTTCATTTTCTTTACAGAAGTGGAGTGACGATATCAGGCGTAATTTTATTATGGATTACTCATTCAGCTTTAAAGAAATAGTTTTTATATTATACATTTTTAATATTTTATTATGAAATTAAATTCTTTCTGATTTGTAGCTTGTGTTGTTTTTCAACCTTATATCTGGCACATTTTTACTAACTAACGAATGGAAGAGTTCGATCTTTACGAATTCAGATTAAATAAGTATAGGCAACAAACAGCAACACATCAATAATAACACAAGAGACAAAGTGGAATAAGTATAGACAATATTCAAAAAAGGAAAAAAGCTTTTGATCTAGATTATACTAACATTGAAGTGTTAAGCTCGGATCTGACACAACGGGTAGCGACGAAATTCATCTACTAAGAGAACTTGAAAATAAATAATAGAAAAAGACAAAATATAAAAATAATAAATAATGGAATACAATTTTTACGCTCAATATTTATGGTTTACGATACCTGTGATATGACAAAACTGTCTATTTATGGCCAGAGCGTCCAGTACAATTTGTGGGTAAATTAACAGGGTTCAAAGGAAATTGGAAGCTGATGTAAAGCACGTACGTACGGCCATAATTTTACTATGAAGGGGTCTAAGGAAGTTGTGTTGGAATTTTTATCACTGTATAAATTACCCAACTTCCTAAAATTTTTACTGGCAATACTATCATGGGGCACTGTTGCCCCAATTTCACACTAACATGGGGTGCCAACCGTGTTCTCTTTTTATTTTACTAATATGTATTGTCTGTTTCTCTTTGCCGACGTGAAGCAGCGAAGAGCGCCTTTCCACGTGCTGTGAGATGCCGCCTTTACAAGTGTTTGCAGGAGATCGAGATTTTTACTATAGTGTGAAAGACACCAAATATTCCAGGCGAAGAAAGATAATTAAATTAGCAAACATCACGTTAGAAACAACAAAAAACCGGAATCTCATGAACATGATTTAGCTCAGATGAATTTAAAATAAAACAAGGACTGAAAAAACGGATCCACTGTCTACGATACTCTTTAATTTAACACTTATAATAATGGAATAATGATTAGAAGAAGCAAGATAACAATACAAGAAAAGTTTAAAAACAATCATCAATGTCTATTTTTTGCGGGTGACCTAATATTAATAGAAACACAAAAAGGGCAACTACAAAGAATCGGAATAAAATAAAAAAAAGGAATTAGAATTAAATCAAGAAAAAAAAAACTATAAAAAGGCCTATTTGGAAGTGAAAATAAAAGAAAAGAGGAAGTACAGGCCATAATCACAAAATATGGATAGTAACGATGTCACAATAAAAAGTAATATGACCAGCGTACCAACGTATGAATGTGAATGTGGATATTTTGTGATGTAATAATTCAAAATAGTAAACAGGTACCATTTTATAAAATAAATTGAACTAAAAACATATGATAAGTAACTTTTTAGCTCTTTTTTCTATTCTTATTCAAATATAGGCTTCTCCCATTTCCTTCCATGCTTCTTTTTCCCGTACCAGACGTTTCTATGTTGACCCTGCTATACTTTTATGTCATCGTTTGGGGTATTCCTTGTGATCTCTTTGCTCCATAAGGTGTTCAATTCGAGGCATTTGTTGTGTCCAGGTCACTGCTATTAGTTTTAATAAATTATTTTGATGTTTCCGAAGTGAAATGCCCAGCATCTGTCGTTTCATGACTCTGAGTTCTCCTTAACTTTTCCAAATTTGCTTTGGTATATGTTCATGTCTCTGCTCCAAATGTTGGGGCAGGGAAAATACAAGAACTAAATGCTTTCAGTCGAAATTTTCGAAGTATTTTTTATTTTTCAGTACATAAGACAGCTTTCCATCGCAAAGAAAGATCCCAGTTTGTAACGATACTAAAGTTTTGATTAACGTATTTAGAATCCCGTACTGTATAAATTTTGGATTTCAGTGTTATATATGAAATCATGTATATTCGAACGAATGTTTTTTTTATAAACATCTCTAAATTTCGTAATAAGAACAATTTAAGTGTTTTAGGAATAGAATAAATAAAATTTAAACATGTGTATTTTAATCTGCCTAAATTGCCTTGGATAATCGTTTCTCTATATGTCTGATAAGATTCTTTTTAACAATAAGGATCGTGAGAACCGCTTACTAAGGAGCGTCAGTCTAGTGATGTACTGATGTACTTTTTCTTTTACTGTTGATTATTTTACTTATGCAAAGTTCCAATAGCGCCGTCATATTCTAAGACGATCTGCATTATTCGAAAGTTTGTTCAGACACAAAAAAATTGTATGTGTTCATACAGGTAATTCATCATTATTCGGTAATGATTTAGTTATAAAGATTGCAACGTGCATAATGTTTTCGATCAAAAAGCTTATTCTGTTCCTCTAGCACTATGAGTCTATTACGTTTGTTCTATTCACTTAGTCTCGTCTATGTTACGTTAAGGTTATATTATGTGTCCAAAAAATGTTATTAATAGATTAGTTGTTAATTTATACATTGACATGTGCGTTACAATGCAAAAAGGAGGTATAGTTAGCTGGTTTAAAATTTTGGCTAAATCTATTCAGCAGCCTTAACAATTTTATAGATTTCTAATTTCTTTCCTAATAAACCATTTTTGTAATATGATTAAGAACAGTTTATTCGTAATAAACATATTGTTACTTATTTTTATGTTAATTATATTAATGTTTATTGCCCCATAATTTCATGCTTCAAATTTAGAACTAGCTTATTCATTATTAATGAACTTAAACAAAAAAATTGGCAACAGTTTGTGTGTTAATCTCACCAATGACTGCAAAAATAATAACCTAGATTTTTCGCATACAATCGTCTTAATGGATGTAGTTGTATTTATTATATATAGACATATATATATATATATATATATATATATATATATATATATATATATATATATATATATATATAATGCACTCGTAAGTGAATGGGATGGTTTCGGTCAATTTGGAGATAAAAAAGACAAGATTTGTGCTACTTTATCTATTTATTGAAGACGTTTCGCCCACTGTTCAATGAGCATCATCAGTTCATCTAAATGAGTGTTATTAGCGATAAATCTAATATGATAAACAATTAAGTAAATAATCTTACCTTTAAAAGATATGTAATTTAAAAGATCTAAAATTAATCTAATTAAAACATCAACAAAAAAAAAAACAAATCACAGAACGCCGGAAGATTTCCAATTTATGCAATTTTATAATAATTTTTTAATTTAACTCTTGGCAACATTGACTTATTATAAAATCTATCAAAAAATCTAATGGTCAATTTTGAAATATTATATTAACAACGGCACGGCTCAGGGTTCTTGACTGTTATAACCATAACATGCGAAATGAAGTATAAAAACGTCAGAATATATATATATATATATATATATATATATATATATATATATATATATATATATATATATATATAACTATCTGGCTGAGTATAAACTGGGACACTTGTCTAATTTACGAAATAATGCTAAAATTGTATATAATAAAAGAAACAGAAGAAGAAGAAACCAATCATTAAAAATAGAATACGGAAAAAATCAATTTTGTAGTATTAGTGCATAGTAAATTTGGCTTAAGTTGCTGATATCAGTTCTCTTATTTAATGCATTAGGTTGTTTCAAAATATGACACATCTCCATAAACTCTCTTATTAAGGTTACGTTCTCTACAGAGAATTCTAACATCATCAAAATTCACAGTATGTTTGGTGTTGATTGCATGTTGTGCAAGGGCACAGGTATGTTTAGACAGTTTAATGTCAATACGATGTGAAATAAGGCATCCTTTAAGGGAACGGCCCGTCTGACCAATATAACATGCATCATATTCAGAACAGGGTTTGTGATAGACTACATTCACTTGTTTCAAAAAGGAAAGAGGTGTTTTAGTTTTAGAAAACAAGTTCCTGACATTAACATTATTGACAGCAATCTTAAACGGTATATTGTTCTGTTTATACAATTTAATAAGCTTTTCAGTAACATATGGGAAATAGGGTAGTGAAGAGTAATGGGTGGTGGAAGTTGCAATGTTAGGAGAAAGTAGAGTACTGTTGTTCATAATATTATTAGAAATCATCCTTAGTTGATTACCATCAGGTAAATCATCAATAGAAGACCCAAAACTTGTTGAAAAAAGGTATTTATTGATGAGAGAAGTAGGGTACGAATTGTCAGATAGTATACTTTTGAGTAATAAAAGAAAATCCCATTTGTTATCAGGATGTGTTAACCTATTTAGCCTACAGCTGAGTGCTTTTTTAAGATTTAAGCTGAATGAAGAATTGCGGTACCTGATTTTACTTGATTACCTGATTTTTATATAACTTTTAACCATATTTTATTTGTCTCCTGATAAAGCTGACAAAAAATCAGCGAAATATAGAGCATTAAAAGAAAAAAGAGTTTTTTTTTAATAACAGACCGCATACCCGATACTCCAACACAATAAATTGTTATATAATTAATATTGATTTAAATAAATTGCAGAATATTTTTGTAGATGCTACTCAGCTGATTCGTATCTGTTTTGTAATTTATTACATTTTGTGTTTTAGTAATATAACACATTTGCAGAAAGAGCCTGCTTTTATAATTAGTTGAAGTTTGTCGGATTTTAACATTCGTATAGTCAAATTTGTGACCTGTATTGATGGAGTGTTGGACAACAGCGCATGTGTTTTTACCTTTATGGCAGTTACTTTTGTGCTGGGTAATACGTTGTTTCAACCATTGGCTTGTCTGTCCAATATAGCAACCTTAGCAGCCTAAACACGGTATTTTATAGATTGTATTGGTAGTATACATTCTTGGTGTTTTATCTTTGACACGAGAAAATAGACTTTTGTTAGATTATCAATCTTTTATATGTAAAGTTTTGTGGAGTATCTTTATCCAATGGTCCATCATAATAGTGGGAGTTGTAAATTGTTTAAGGAGTGCCTTTGGATAACCGTTGTTAATAAATATTTTAAGTAATTTGCTCTGACTATTATTTAAAAACATATCCAATATAGTAATACCAGAAGATATTTCTGACTTCCTCTCTCTTGGTCCAAAATTTGCAATACCATCAGTCCGTAGTGAC